TATCCCAGATGTACTTAACAAATTGTGGTCCTTTAACCTCTCCAAGATCTGCTGCATATGACATTTTAAATGTTTACATTTTCTGCAGTGAACTATGACCATTTCTAACAGTGACCTTTGAAGCTCCAAAAGGATGATGGGGTACCACAATAATGATTCCACCTGGACTGTGATAATACCACTAAGCTGACAAACACCATCCAAAGATCAGCTACAACTGCTGATTACAAACTACTCAGGACAATTTCAAGGTGGTCAGCTGAGATGGTCCAGCCTCATATACTACTCCAGCCAGGACTTCAGATAAGCCCTACACTTTCCCATTACACGGAGGACTGGTAATAAATGATACAGCTAGCTCTCTCAGGATTTCTTCTAGATGATAAACTCAAGGCTCAGAGAGGTTCAGTAGCTACAGTCATACAATTATCAGCAAGAGAGCCAGAGTTCAGGCTGAAAGTCTCAACTCTATGTACAAGGTACTTGCTTCTCTCTTCAACATAGATATCTGGGGGTACTCCCAAGAGTACAGTCCAGCACAGCTGGAAAAACATGGCAGCAGGTGCAGCACATGCATCTATAGCCAGGGAGCAGAGCGTGATGGGTGCTAGCCCACTTTTTCCTCTGTGTTCAGTCTGTGAGTCCAGTCCATGGAATGGTGCACAGTTAAGGTGGATCTTCCCGCCCCAATGAACAAGCATAGGAGATTCCTCCTGGCTTGCCCAGAGGCTTCTCATTAGGTGATTCTAGATCCTGTTGAGTTGATAATCAGTTGTCAGCCATCAGAATCTGCAATCGGCTCACTACTTGCTATGGCCTCACAGCCTTGGGTGCCAGGAAATGAACTGTAGTTTCTGCCAGTATGGAATGTTTTCAGAGTATGTGCCACTTGACTAGATTTGTGTTAGTAATTCTTCTCACTTTCACAGTCCAACCTTTTGTCACTTATAAATATTTAAGGTGCTGCTGAGTAAGTGGCTCAGACACTACGTGCTGAGAATCCACTGGGAAATAAAGCTTGAACTACCTTCAGGGATCTATCCATCTAGTTGGGAACCTCAGTCTCTTTCACAGCAGTTTAAGTGTCAACTTATTATCTAATTATCTCTTTATGTTATCGCAAGATTGAAACAGCAATAATATGCTTTTAGATTCATTATTACTTGACCCTTGAACTTTTATTGGTGCACGAATCCTAATTGGTCTTAATAAAAACCCAGAGCCAGCTATCAGGGTGAAAGTTGAAAGATCAAAGAAGCAGAGCAGCCACCTCTTAACTCAGTGACTCTTCAAGCCTGCAAGAGCCTGAAAAGACCTGAGTTCCTGTCTCCCCCTGCCTTATTATATTCCTTTCTCTGCCCAGCCATATCACTTCCTGCCTCAACCTTCCTAGTGCTGGGATTAAAGGTGTGTGATCACCAGTGCTGGAGTTAAAGGTGTGTGCCACCACTGCCTGACCGCTCTGGCTAACTCTGTGGCCAGCTCTGTCCTCTGATCTTCAGGCAAGCTTTTATTTCTTAGATTACAAGCAATATATCACCACATTTCCTTTCCCCTTTCTTAAGGCTAATTTCACAAATGAGAGTAATTAGGTAGGTCAAAGTTCAACATGACACAGAGATAAGATAGTTACAAAGGACCTCACCCTGTTTTGAAAGAGTTATTTTGGTCTTTCAGCTAAATGATTTTTTTTTCCCTGCTGAAAGACACTTGGCTGGAGTAGGTGGCTTAGCTCTTGGCAGATAATTAATCATAAAATACAAATACAGCAGCTTGAGAGATGACTCAGTGGTCAAGAGCATGTACTGCTCTTTAAGAGGACCTAAGTCCATTTCCCAGCACCCACATCAGGCAGCTCACGGGCGCCTGTAACTCCAGTTCCAGGGCATCTGACTCTGTTTTCTGACATTCTCAGGCACTACACTCAAGTGCACAAACCCATACTCATGTATACATACATACATAATAATTAAAAATTTTAAAAACATGCAAGTATAAAACTGTGATGTAACTCAACTTACATAACCTTTCTGTAAACAATGGCAAAAAGAACTGGGAATCAGGGCTGGAGAGATGGATCAGTGGTTAAGAGCACTGGCTGCTCTGGCAGTGGACCCTCCTTTGATTCCCAGCACCCCCATGGTGTCTCACAACCATCTGTAACTCTCACGATGTAGCCCAGGCTGGCCTGGAACTCACACTCCTCCCGCTTCGGCCTTCTAAATGCTGGGATTGCAGGCCTACACCACCACACTTAACCAACACGCTCTATTTTGCTGATTTTTAGGAATCATTGTTGTTTTCCCTTTTCAGTTTGGAGACAGAATGCTTCAGGTGAGACTCAAGTCATTCTCCCACTTCAGCCTTTTGAGTGCACTATACCCAACTTAAGATTCTGCTCTGATGGCCACTTCAATCAGATTTCAGTTCTAGTGCCCGGGAAGGGGTGGAAGAGGATGGCCAGGAGTAGGCTACAGGGTAAACAGCATCATCTAGACTCCAGAACTTTGCTCCAGGAAGCACCCACCACAGGAGAAGCAAGTCTCACCATGGAAAAATGGCACCAAAACACGTGAGTGGCAAAGTAGACGCATGAATTGTTTTCCAAACGAAGATGATAATGGCAAAAGGCTGCACGTTTTTGCTTCACCGAGAACAGGTGAGAAAGTCATGTCTGACCATAATTGCTGAGTCAGGTGTGGATGGGAAAAGAGGGCCACCCGGGGAGGGATTAGTCACCCATTCCTGACCACAGCAGCATATCAACCTGAGTCACTGAACTGGGGTCTGGAGAGAGGTATGCAAAACATAGACCTGGCCCTTGCCCCAGAGACAGCCACTGTTCTGTGGGAAATGAAGAAAGAGCAAAAGAATTTAAAGGGATAAGCAGAAGAAAGTAAGGTCTCCTGGGAGGAACAGTTAACTCCCATTGGACGAGCCAGAGGAGGTTCCTGGAGGGAGAACTCTCTAAAGCTGAGCTCTGAAATATCACAAAGACCAGAAGGGAGAGAAAAATGTTAATAAGGAATGAAGCTGTGATAAAGAAAAATTCAGGTTGAGAAAGAACAAGCATGGAGTATTTAAAAGAAACATCTAATCAGTGTGTAGGTGGAGGGCTGGGGGTGGCAGTGAGGAGGTCTTTACGTTTGTAAACATTTTCACAGTATGTAGTGTTTGAATGCCCAAATCTCAAGCACTATTTGCTTCTTATGCTTTTTTTTTTTTCTTTTTCCTTTTGGAGACAGGGTCTCATTATCTATCCTTGGCTGCCTGGAATAGATAGACTCGGATAGATAGCCTTGAATTCATACAGAACAGCATGCTTCTGTCTCGTAAGTGATGGATATTTTTTTTTCTTCTTTGAGACAGGAATTCTCTGTGTAGCTTTGGCACCTTTCCTGGGAACTCACTCTGTAGACCAGGCTGGCCTGGACTCACAGAGATCCACCTGGCTCTGCCTCCCAAGTGCTGGGATTAAAGGTGTGCACCACCACCGCCCGTCTGAGTGATGGATTTTAAAGACATGCACACCACAATGGGTTCAAGATTTTTAAAACTATTTTAAATGTTATGTGTATGGGTGTTTTGCTTGCATGTATGTCTGTGCACCATGTATGTGCCTTTGGAGACCAAAAGAGGGCACTGGATCCCCTAGACCTGGGTTTACAAAAGGTTGTTAGCTGCCATGTGGATGCTGGGAACTGAACCCAGATCCTCTGGAAGTGCAGCCAGTGCTCTTAACTGCTAAACCACCTCTCTAGATCCTTGAGTACACTATTTTTTAAAGACATTTCTCTAAAGTGTAGGACTTCTAATGTGTGGGGTCTCATCCAAAAGAGGCTGTGAATATATAGGACTCCTTCAAGAACACAGTGGGGAAAAACTGTCCTCAGTCTAGTTAAGCAGATTGTTTTAGACTAGACTAGCCCAGTGGCCAGGACCAAACCAAAATGGAGTCTGTTGTGCTAAGTGCCACTTAGATGAGCTGGGAGACAAGCTTGCTTTCTCAACAGTTCCAGGTGACCACAGTCGGTGAAGAAATGCAATCTCCTCTGTGTAAACCTATAAAGACAGTACCCTAGGACGCGGGCTGTTCTGTCTGTCTGTCTGTGAGCAGACCCACACTGCTCTAGGACTCTTGTGCAGCTCTAGGCTGCGTTTGTTCTGATTGTTTCCTTTTTGAGACGGGGAGGAGGTATTAGAGACTGAATTTAGGACCTCACCTACCCAGATAAGAGTTCGAATGCTCTGTGGCTAGGCCATATCCTCAGCCCCTCGAGTTTTATCTTTCAATAGTCAGTCCCCTTCTTGTCTTTTTGTGTGGCTCTGAAATTCTAGCCTGTACAGAATCCATGCAACAATATTAAAATAGTTTCTTTCATGCTGGTTGAGAGAATCGTGTTGTCCTTAGAGATCATGATCGTCCTGCCTCACTCAACCTCCTCCCCAGGGCTGGGGTTCAGAGTGGACTTCCAAGGCCAGTTTTCTTCTTTTTCACATTCTTTTAAAGACACTTTTCATGCTGACAGTTTTCCAGTTCCTTTGGTGCCCACCTTAACAGCACTTAACAGCAACTAGAAATTGCCCCGATGACCAGCATGCTGCAGGGGACAGGCAAATGCCCTCAGTTAAGATGGCCGCAGCTGCCTTGCTTTGCCCTTTTCTGACCTCAGCAAAGACTACTTCCTTTGAAACCTCGCTTTTTCCACAACAAAGATGGAGCCGGCGCTTCCGGTTCCGGGCTCTTGCTGTCGTGGGGGTGAGTGACACAGGGCCTGGAGAAGGAATCTCTGCCGGTTTTCTCCTCCATTCTGGAGTGTCTTGGGAAGGGAGCAGGGAAACGAGGAGGGAAGGGAGGAGCGATTCTCGCGACACTTTATTCCACGAGGTTTCCCGGCACCTGCCCAGCCCCTCCGCCCAAGCCCCGCCCACCGCGCCCTCTTACCTGGCTCTGGAATTTAGCGGGGGGGGGGGGGGGGCGGGCGGATTAGTTCCAATTATTTTTCTATTTTAACATCTTAAATTATTGTTGTCTTGCTGGTTTTGCGTTTTGAGACAGGGTCTCTGTCTACATAGCCCTGACTGCCCCGAAACTCACTATGTGGATCAGGATAGTCTGGAGTTAACAGATCTTCCTGCCTCTGCTGGGATAAACAGGCCCAGGTCTATTATAATTTTAAACAGCCATATTGTAGCTGGATGTTTTCATAAAGTCTAAACTGTAAACTACAAGTCAACAACCTTGGACTGTGTTCATCACCCCAAAGAAAACTTCTGAGGAACGTAGTTCAGAGCCGGAGCATTGCACTGCCCACCACCTGTCCCCACCCCAGTCCTGGGCTGCGATCAGAGTACTGTCTCTATGGTTGTCTAATTTGCATGCTGTATAAACGGAATCAAACAGTATGTGACTAGCTTCTTTGGCCAGGGATTTGTAAGGCTTGTTTGGGACTTGAGAGAATTGCATTCCTTTAATGCTAAAAAATGCATAACTGTTTGGAAACCTATTGCATATTTTTATTTTTCTGTTGATCAAGACCTTCCTAAGTATTTTCCAAAGCACTCCTCCAACTGCCTATCAGTGTGATTTTTTTCCTTGGGGTAGCTATTCTCTTTCACTGTCTTTGTGCCACTACTATGGTTCATTACTATAGAGGTTTCTTTTGTTTGGCCTTTTGAGACAATGTCTTGCTACAATAGTCCAGGCTGGCCCCGAATTCAAGGTCCTCCTGCTTGTGTGTTCCCAGACACTGGGATCATAAGAGTGTGTGACCACATCTGACTTGCATTGATTTCTGTTGTTTTGTAGGTTAGTTTAGGCTCTAATAGCATCATTTATTTTATTTTATCTTAGTTTGTTTTATTTCACTTCAGGACAGGGTCTTACTATGTAGCCATGACTGGACAGGAACTTTCTATGTAGGTCAGCTGGCTTCAGACTCACGGAGATGGGCCTGTCTTTGCTGGGACTAAAGGCATATGCCACCACCCCTGGTGAACAGTACCATCTTAAGATACTGGCTTCTGATGCATGACCACGGTATATCTCCCTTTTCTTTAGCGCACGTCTTAAGCTTACTTAATACAGTCCTGTTTTATTTCTATGCTTTTTTGTTTTTTGTTTTTCGAGACAGGATTTCTCCATGTAGTTTTGGTTCCTGTCCTGGATCTCGCTCTGTAGACCAGGCTGGCCTCAAACTCAGAGATCTGCCTGGCTCTGCCTCCCGAGTGTTGGAATTAAAGGCATGCGCCACCACCACCCGGCTTATTTCTATGCTTTTATAAATGGGTTCTACATGGCAACATGGAAAAACATGTTGTTGCCACCAGCGACCTCTCCTTGTGATTGTATACAACTTGAACTCATGAGAACTTTACTCATGTGATTTTTTTTCTTAACCCTCAGAGTATAAATGTCTGATGCTCTGAATAAAATTGGCTATTGCATTAAAAATAAATAAATAAATAAATAGGTTCTAATTCACCTTTGAGGTTGTTGGTTACTAATGTATGTAAATATAAGTGATTGTATGTGTGTGTTGGTTGAATCTTGCAACCTTGTGTAACTTGTTTATTTTTTAATTTATTTTGTGCATTCCTTAAGGTTTTCTGAATAAGATCATGTCTTCTGGGTTTGTTTGGTTTTTGCCCTGAGGTTGAACCCAGAGCCTGGTCCTTGCTAAGCAAATGCTTTATTATCAAGCTGCATCCCCTACTCCTGTGTCCTGTTAGTGGGGATAATTTTATGGTTCTCTTTCCAATCTGGACACCTTTCATTTTATTTTCTTGTCTAATTGTGCCATCTAAAACTTCCAGCACAACACTGACTAGAAATAATAAGCTTAGACATCCCTGTTTTGCTCCTGATTTCAAGAAGAAAGCATTTAGCTGGCCTTATTGATCATCCTTACTATGGAATTTTAAAACCACTTTTTATAAGGTTGAAGAAGATGCTTTCCATTCCTAGCTTATTGAGTAATGGTATTTGTCAAAAGTTTACATGTATCTATTGTGGGTGTATCCTTTACTCTATTAATAATGGGATATACAGATGGATTGGCAGAGGTTAAAATAACTCCGAGGGCTGAGGATGTAACTCCGTTAGTAGAATTAGTAGACTGCTCACTTACCATCAACAAAGCCTTGGATTTGCTCCCCAGCAAACCAGGCACACATCTGTAACCCCAACATGTCAGAGGTGGAAATGAGAGAGTCAGAAGTTCAATGTCATCCTCAGCTACACCACAAGTTCAAAGCCAATCCCGATACACAAAACTCTGTTTAAAAATAAACTAAAAGAATGAATAAAATGGCTTTTAACATAAAATAATTTTGCATTTTGGGGGTTAGTTCCATCTAGTCCTGAAATATTGGTGTGTTTGTGGGCCGGGCGGGGCGGGGAGGGGGGGGTGATATGTGGGAGGGTGCACAGGCCTCTGAGTATACCAGAGCCACACCTGCAGTCTGGAGCCATAGCCTTCCTGTACACTGTTGATGTTCTGTGGAGGTCTCCTGTATGTGTGTTTGTGACACAGGATTGTGGTTTTCTTGTGGTGTTAATGTGGATGTTATTCTTGTGCTGTCTTTTCTCCCTGTCTGTCTTTCCTTCTTTTTTTCAGAAGAGGAACTATGTAAGTTCATTATGTAGGGCTAGGAGTGTAGTTTCATGGCAAGGCACATGTCTGGTCTGCTGAGGACCTGGGTTCAATCCCCGCTTTTCCTCTGTCCCATTGCTTTCTCCTGTGAGCAGTCACTGACTCTCACACAGTGTGTTTAGAAACAGATGTGCATATACTTACTTTATAACGTGAAGGGTTCTGCCTTCCGTAGGATTTTTCACTTTGTTTTGGCACAGTGCTCAGCTTGGAGTTTTGGGGCCTTTAATGCAAGCGGTTCAAAACCCAAAGCAAAACTATCACATCAGGGATCCCTTTCATTAATGACATCAGGTTGATGTTCGTTGAAGGCAGGCAGAATCTACGGGTCTCACCTGTGACCTTTCACTGTTTCCACAGGCCTCCTGCCTGGGGTTATGTAACCGGAGCCGGAGCCAGAGGTGCCAGGCAGAGGTCCCAGCTGAAGCTCCAAGGTTGCTTAGCTGTTAGAACGCCCGCGGAGAGGCGGAGAGGCGGAGAGACAGGATGTTCTGTTTTGGGGAACCTTATCTTTCCACTCCTTTTAGGAATGATCAGCTGATACCTGGGCTGATCCTCTGCCTGAGCAAGTGTCCGAAGCCTGTGACTGGGTGTCCTTGCCAGGTGGCTGTGTTGGTTGGCTTGTACACGTGCTGCCTTTGCCTGATCGGCCCTGGGGCTGCTCAGACTCGGGAGGCCGGGGACCTTCAAGCTGGGCTCATCCCGTGGGAGCAGCTTTTCGTGTGTTTCTTTGGGCAGCTTGGGGTGCTTCTTGCCTGTAGCTAACTGTGAATGAGGGTAATGACGGGAGTCTCTGCTCCAGGGGGTCACTGGAGGTGAAGCCCTTGGCCTAGGGTCAGATCTACTATACACTTGACAAAGGTGACCTGGCCTTGTCACACTGCTCATATTATTCTGAGATTACCTCTTCCATTAAACATATGTCTTCGAGATCTTTCGAGTTCTACCATTTTATTCTTTCTTTGTTAGTTCTATCATTTTAATAGCTGTGTGGTAGTCCTTGATTTGAAATAATGCTTTCTTCCAAAACTCTTCCTTATCTTCTTTTGACTCCCTTGATAACACAGCCATGGCACACAGACTGTCTCTTCTAATTGACTTCCAGGTCCTCCTTAATGCCTTTCTCTGTTCATTCAGTTGTTAAGTTCTGGTCTCCTTTTAGTTCTTGGTTTGGTTTTTTGTTTTTTGTTTTTTTCTTTTTTTTAGTTTTTCAGTTTTTTGAGACAGGGTTTCTGTGTGTAGCCCTGGCTGTCCTGGCACTAACTCTGAGACCAGGCTGGCCTTGAACTCACAGTAATCCACCTTTCTCTGCCTCCCGAATGCTGGGACTAACGGCGTGCACCACCTCCCAGCTTTAACTGTGTTCTTAATCTCTCCCTTACTCTTGACTCATAGGACCTTGGCCTATCTCAAACAGCCTCCTCCATTACTTAGACTACTGCAGGGTGTGAGTGTCTGTGGCTCCTGGGGTTGCCTGTGGCCAGTACTGAACAGGCTCCGGTCCTGTCAGCCTCTCTGCTTTCCAGCTGCTAAGTGTGCAAGCAAGACTGTGCACGCCCAACCTCTGGATGGTGCATGGAGGCTTGTGACAACCTAGCGTCAGGTACTGGCTACTATAAAGCTGATTGCTGCGAGCAACTCACGAGAGAGATGGACAGGAGTGGGTGTACTGCAAGGGACTTCGAACGGAGAATCCGGTACCCCATAGGTTCAAAACCAGGAAGGGAAACACTAGGGTTTTCTTGGTTTATTTGTTTTTTAGTTTTATTATTATTAATTTTTTGTATATGGGTGTTTTACATTTATTTTTATGTGTATCTGTCTCCCACATTCACAGACTGCCCTTAGACCCGTTCCCCTGGAACTGGAGTTACAAATGGTTTTAGTTTTATGAGCCACCATGTGGGTCCTGGGAATTGAACCCAGGTCCTCTGGAAGTACAGCTAGTGCTCTTACCATGTTCTAACATTCAGCCTCCTTTCCCAGCTGAAATTATATTTATATGTTGCTGTTGTTGTTACTGTTTGTTTGTTTTGAGGCAGTCTTGCTACTTAGCCCAGGCTGCCCTCAAACTTGGAATCCTTCTATGTTAGCCTCCTGAGTTTTGGAATTACAGATGTTTGCCATCATGCCTAGCTCCTGGCTGAAACTGATTTTCCTCAGGTTGTAGCCGGAATCTTAAAGGTTCTTATTAATAAAATCAAACCCGAGGCGAGTTATTGGGGTCCATGCTGGTAGATCAGAGAGACAGAACAAGCCACAGCTATCTCACCTTGCCAACAATTCCTCAGCTGGTCCTGTTTCCTCAGACTGGAAGCTTCTGTGTCCTCATCCCAATGAATCTCAGCTGAACTGTGTTGCTCCAAAGCCTGAAAGCTTAACCAGTCGAATCTCCTAGTTTCTGGTCCTCACGCCTTATATATCTTTTTGCTTTCTACCACCACTCCCTAGGATTAAAGGGTGGCTTTCTGGGATTAAAGGTGTGTGTCACTATGCTTGGCTATTTCCAATGTGGCCTTGAACTCACCGAGATCCAGAGGGATTTCTATCTCTGGAATGCTAGGATTAAAGGTGTGAGTGCCACCATTTTCTAGCCTTTGTATCTAGTGGCTGTCTGTTCTCTGACCCCAGATAAATTTATTAGAGTACATAATATTTTGGGGAACACAATACCACCACATCAGGTGGAAGTCCATCTTGTCTCACAACTAAGGGAACTTGGTGCCCAAACACTGAGTCGAAGGAGAAGAAACCCCATGTCTTAGGGGAAGAGAATGGCTGGTCTTCAGGACTCCTCAGGCTGTAGTCCAGGGTATCTCTTGCTGCACAGCTGGTGATGTGGATTGTTTGACCTTGCCTTGCAGGCCTATGGAACCCCAGGCCGACACACCCAGCAGCCAGTCAGTGGAGAGCTGCACCTTGGATCTACCGACAGCATCTGTCCTCAGAGGTCATGAAGCATCCCAGGGAGCCAGCAGCAAGTCTCTGAGTTCCCTGGAATCCCAGGCTTTCCCTTCTTCTTTGACTGCTGATCCAGGTAATAAGCAGAGTTTGAATCAAACTAACTTTACGAAAACAACTGTCAGAGACACAGGTGAATGGTAGTTCTGTTTCTCCACCCAGAAGGAGTAAGTTTTTACCTTACCCAGAAAAACACTTTACCCAGAAAAGCTGTGGGTTTTTTGAAGGGCTTCAAACAAGCCTCCCAGAGTAACAGGGTGGTGTATAGAAACTGGGGATGCAGAGGTGAATGCCCAGGTCCTTCCTTGAGGGAGCTCAGAGTTTGGGGTGATCCAAACACAGTGTGTCTAGACAAAGAGGACCAGAAGGGAAGCAAGTGTTTTGTTATTCCTTCCTGGGCCCCTTCCTGTTCTCTGTCAGATATGCTCTGAGGCAGAAGGAACACTTAGTTTGACAAAGAGGGTGGAACTGTGCTTGGTTCTTTTTAAGACCGCAGAAAACAGCAGTGTGGGCACTGTGTGCTGTGGGTGATGAGGATGATAGAGAACAGCAGTGTGGGCACTGG